TCTGTCTGTTTATTGCAGGTGGATTTGTCTGTTTCTGCCCCGTTCGTGTAAATGGCTGTTTCCTATAGCCCAGCCATACGAATGACCGTTTTTCCCGAACAAAACTACCGAACGGATGGCCACCCAGGAGAGAAGTGTGCTGCTGGTTAACCTATTGATCACAATTAGAACGTTGTGGTTAACCGCAGACACTTCTCAATTAAACCGAATTCAGGGTGGTCGTCGTTCGTATGTCGACCACGAGGCACCGAAAGACTGTAAGAACTTTGACTCCATGGCGATTGAACTATGTGTGTGGGATCTGAGCGCTATTCGCTAATAATATGCAGTCAGATCCAGGCTATCTGGGGATATGTGATGCGAATGGGAAATGTTCGGTTATTGTAAAGTTATGTATTTTTATGTATTTTCTGGTTTTATATTTAAGATGGCGACTGGCTTTGTCCTGGAGATAATTGAGTTACTTCTTAATTATCTCCAGGGCAGAGGGGAGGAAACCCTAGTGCATTGTGGGTAAAACCTGTGACCGTATGTCTGAAATGTCCCCATGTCTATCTGTCATTACAGTCTCCCATTTGGTCCCCTAGGGGAGTGTCCACCAAGTGGGAGACCTGCATAAATATGGGCGGGTAGCCCACAGTAAAGCCAGATCCTGTTTGACCCTCAATGCGGAGCTTCTGTCTCGTTATTGGGGGGATTTCTTCTTTACGTTTAGAGACTGCTGGATGGAACCGAAAGCCACTTGGTGGTTATTGTTGTTCGGCAGCTAGCAGCAGTTCGTGGATTTCCGTTCGGGAGTTTGGAGCCGTTCACGGATCTCAGTCGGGAGATTGTCGCTTCCCCTGAGCTTGGTTCGTACACTGCAGTTTATGCGAACGGAGATTATTGGTATTGCAGAAGGGGAAAGCTAACTAAACGGCGGTTTCATTTAAAGACACCAGGGGTGTCTTAACACATGGTATTCCTCAAAATATTGTGTCTGACAGGGGTTCCCAATTTGTGTCACGGTTCTGGAGGGCATTCAATAAACAGTTGGGCATTGAATTGTCATTTTCCTCTGCTTACCATCCCCAAACTAATGGTACGGCTGAAAGAGCTAACCAATCACTTGAGCTGTATTTACGTTGCTTTGTGAATAGTACACAGTCTAACTGGACTGAATTATTGCCCTGGGCTGAATTTGCATGGAATAACGCTACCCATAACTCATCAGGGCATAGTCCGTTTTTTGTCAATATGGGTCGTCATCCTGCTGTTCTCCCTGCTGTGTTTTCTGATAGGGCTATCCCTACTCTGGATGATCACCTTACCTCTATTCGTGATACCTGGACTAAGGTTCACTCCACTCTTGAAACTGCGGCTGCTCGCTTTAAGTTTCATGTGGATAAACGTCGGAGTGCAAATCCAGTTTACCAGGTAGGTGATCGGGTTTGGTTATCCTCATGCAACGTCAGGTTGAAGGTTCCCAGCATGAAGTTGCTCCGAGGTTCCTAGGTGTGACACAGTACTGCATGCTGGGTCAATTTGTAATGCTGACAATAATATAGCTATATTATAACTGTATACATAACTATAGCTGTTATCATAATAGATAACATACAATGGTATGGATAGAGATAAAAAAAAAAACAGGTTATGCCATATAACAATACAGTGGTGATAGTACTTAGTATCAAATATCAAAAGAAGTGTAACAGCGAATTCGAACAAAATAATCCTAAAGTCAATTTTTAGTGAGCAGCAAACGATATTCATAAGGTAGATAAATTCAGTAGGTAGTCCAATATTTTTACCAACTCAGATAAGTTTCCATAATATAAATTGAAAATAAGCGACAGAATAAAAATAATAATAATATTGTATTTGACAAGGGCAACTAAGTAAAATGTTCAAAAATAAACTCACAAAAAGGAGCTATCTACTAGCTCTCATGTATCAGCGTCTGACAATATAATCCTTGTCACGGGATATGAGGTAGATAACCAAGGCTTTTACAGAATCCCAGATATGTTCTACGGTACGGTAGAAAATATGCATCTCACATGGAATATATAAAAATAGAGCGAATCTGAATAGTGTAATCAAATAACATATCCAGAGAATATTTTATAAATAAAGATAAACAAGAGAAAAATAGTGCTCTCTGTTTATAGTAAAACTTCTATTTGCAAATAGGAGGAAATGCACTTACATTTAGAGGAGCAAGCATTTGCTCTTTGTAAACAGCATGGGTGGTACAACCCCCACCTGGGATATGTAAGGGCAAATAGGAAAAGTGCAGCTTTGACAGCAGGACTTCCAGATGATACATATATATAAATAAAAGCAGGACAAGATAAAATTCATTGGAATTGTAAGACCAAATTTTATTGAAAATTCACAGCCAAGAAATAAAATAAAATAATAAATAAATAAAATGCTTTGAAATATCAAATCCCAACGTGTTTTGCCTAACATGTAGCCCTAAATTTGTAAAGTATACATAAACTAAAGAACATCTTTATTACATATATACCATAAGAATGGTGCTGGTGTAACATTTATTAAAAACAATTTAGGTAAATAACTTTATTTCTGTTCATTAAATACTGGAAACAAAATGTACTGGAAGAAAATGTCTAGGGAACTACTGTTTCCATAATGCATCTGTGGCAGAACCACTGCTTATTTGTATGTTTTGCCCTTGTATTGTGTGTTTCCCCTGTATTTTGTGTGCTGTGCTTTGTTTTCCAATTCGGGAGCATCCAAACGAACATAATCTATTTGTCTCCCAAATGGGGACCACCCCAGTGTCCCATTAGAATGTTCACCCCAATTAATTAGAACATTACATTCACACCATCAACAATAGTGTGAAAACGCAAAGGAAGTAATTAATGAATTCTCCCCTGGGTGGCTGCCATTTCGTATAGACAAACGCCAACCATTCATATCCCGAAAGGAGTCACTTCCCTTGCCTGGTATTAGTACAGGAGCCTCACGAATGGAGACTGGTCGGGAAATTTACTTTTGTGGGGGTTCCTAAGATTGGGGGGGACACTTTTGGGGCACTGGCTATGTTGGCAGGCTTTCTGTGCATGGGAGACAAAGAAATGAGGTCCCTTTTCCTGTGCCTTGGCTCCCAGGTACAGAGGATCCTGGGATGGAAACCCCTGTTTGTTTGTGTGGAAGACCCCTTGCAAGGGGTTATTCATAAAAGCCCTGTGTGGCACAATAAAATCGTGTTGTACTCCCAGGGCTGTGTCTCGTTACTGTGGGGAATGGAGGTCTGTTTAATTTGATGGTTCCAGAGTGACTGACAGAAGGAATTAATGGAGGTAACTGGTCGGGTTACCCAGGGTCCGCTACAGCATCGTTCAGTGGAGCCGCGATCACGTGGTCATGACTGCACTAAATGACAGGCTGAGAAACAACCCCTTCTAAAATGTCTGCCCACGGCCGGCATCATGTAATGTAAATAAAAATGCAAGAATGCCAATTTACTGATTGGTGGGTCCATCCGAATAGAGGGAGGTGTGGGGTAGAAGTGTGTTAAGATATCGGGCATGGCTATGCATGGCTAGGGCTGCATAAATAAAGTGATTTAAGTCCTAAATGACAAACAAATTAGCAGTGAGAGTGCAGGGGCATGATCTATACACCAAAACTGCTTCATTAAGTTAAAGTTGTTTTGGTGCTTGGAGTATCCCTGTAAGATTAACCTCTGGCCTCCCAATTGTCCTGATTTTAGTGGGACAGTCGAGATTTTCTGGTCCTGACCTACTGACCTAACTTAGTTCTCAACAAGCACAGTGCAAGCACATCATTAGACACGCTTGCACTATGTTCAGGGCAATAGGAACCTGCAGAGAGCACTGAAACAGGATCTGCACTCAATGAAGGACAGGCAGCCTGCCATGCATTCACACTATGCAATACTTCCAATTCTTGGGTTGGACTTGCCCTTATTGGGCATTACTGGCCCACTCCCGCTGAATTGGAAAGTTCATTATACTTCTAGTTTGGCTACTAAAGCCTTAAATATGAAATTTAGGAAATAACGCTCTGTGTACCATTTAATTTGACAAGAGTAATACAATTAACATTTACTTCTCTAATCAATCCCATGCATGTTATTGTATTTCTAAGAGAAAGTTATTTAAATTAAAAAAGAAAGATGGCTTTTGTTTTTTTTATTGGCTTTGGACAAAAAGGGACAAAATTTGCTTTATCAGGTTGTATTAAGAGTGTAAAAATGGTATATTACTAATACTTCTGAAATAAATATCAAGGTGAGACTGTGAATGGGCGATTACCACTGCTGTGTGAAATATTTGTGTGTCACTATGGATTGAAGAGTATTTTGTTTTGTAATTTCAGAACAAATGCTGCATACCTTCTAACTCTGGGCTTTAAGGACTAAAGAAAATAAATGTATTCATTCACTCCAGGTCTGGTTACCTCTTCTTTTCATACCAGAAAACTCAGATTTTTTTCTGTTGGCTCTAGGTCTAAGAGTTGAAGCTTCCAGGACAGTGTCACAAACTCTGTACGAGGGAAGTGCTACTTACTTACGGTATCTCACTAAACTAGTAGAAGACAGTGGGAATATTGACTGCAATCTCATTTTGGAAGGAGTCACCCAGGGAGATTTATTGGTGCATAGTAACACTGAATTTACCTCTTTGTGGCAAAAAAGCTTCACAGCAGTAGTGCGCCTACATAAGTGCGTTATCCTGCACGATTGTTTGTGAATGCATTTTATGGTTTTATAAGAAATGTTAATTCACTATTGGCGGCACTTCTGTGTGCACTTGCCTTGTCATATGAAGATTTTTTAACGTACCTGTGGCTGGCGTATCTGTCAAGGAAGTCAGCCTTATTCAATGTGGATAGTACATTTGAAGAGGCACCAAAGACATTTTAAAGAGACAACTGGTTATATGCTGTTCAGACAGGAAGTGCTACTTAGGACCACTGCCCCTGTTCCCTGACTTGTATTTTCCAGTAATTTAATCCTATCCACTCCATATTGTCAGGGCCATCTTTGATATTGTACCGGACCCTGGGCAAACATTTGCATGGGGCCCCTGCCCCCTGCCCCCTGCCAGACATACTAACACGCATACACAGAGACATGCACTGACAGACATACAGACACACACGCGGAGACAGGCACACATTGACAGACATACTGACACACACACACAGATACATACACTACAGACATACTGACACACACACACACACACACACATACACTGACAGGCATACTGACACACGCAGACACATAAACTAACACACATACACAGACATACACTGTCAGACATACTGACACACATACCCAAAGACATACAATGACAGACATACTGACATACACAGACACACTGACTTACACAGACAGACATACTGATACATACACTGACAGACATACTGATACAAACACAAACACATAGACAGACATACTGACATAAACATACAATGACAGACATACTGACACAAACACAGACACATACACAGACAGACATACTGACACAAACACAGACACATACACAGACAGACATACTGACATAAAAATACGACAGACATACTGACACAAACACAGACACATACACATACATAAACATACACAGACAGATATACTGACACAAACAAACACACAGAGACATACTGACAGAAACATACACAGACAGATATACTGACACAAACAAACACACAGAGACATACTGACAGAAACATACACAGACAGACATACTGACATAAACATACAATGACAGACATACTGACACAAACACAGACACATACACTGACAGACATACTGACATAAACATACACTGACAGATATACTGACACAAACACAGACACATACACTGACAGACATACTGACAAAACCACAGACACATACACAGACAGACATAAACATACAATGAGAGACACAAACACAGACACATACACTTGCAGCCGTCACTTCCTCCCAGCGCTGCCAAAAAGTAAAGGGTCCAGTCGCGCTGTTAAAGGGCTACAGCATGTGACCGGGCCCCTGCTTACAATACCCACCCATTGGCCTCCTTAATGTGCAGGCCGGCAGCCCCATGGGGGAAAAAATTGTTGAGGGCAGAGTAACTGGGCCCGGGGCAGCTGCCCCATTTGCTCCGCGTTAAAGACGGCCCTGCATATTGTAAACAATACTCAAAAATACTCAATACTCAAAAACAGTAATCAGACACATTCCACTTGTTAAATACCTTATGTAAACCTTCACGGGGGGTGTTAGTTTAAGCAATTTATAAACGTACAGCAGCATTCGGATTGCTTACAGAAGTGTGACTTTTGTGACCCTATATTCTTCTTGAAATGTAAACTGCCTGTGTATAATTTGTATTCTAGGAGTTCTAGGAATGTTCTCCTATAATGGAATCTTCACGGTTGTGAAAGTGAGTGTCAGTCCAGGTCTGCTCTGGCAGAGTATGAGCAACAGCTGATATACATTGATGCAATTTGTAAATATTATGCCATTAACAGCGTAAGCTTATGTTACTTCTTCCAACGATACAAAAAGCAATACATAGTGAAAGGGTTAAATTAATCTATTAGGATTATTCACCAAAGTGAATATTTTTTAGTAGAAGGTGAATTTCAAGTTTAAGTCCAAAATGGCCAAACAATAACCATAGTTGACTGGCGTTGAATTTTTACAGTCTGGCCTTACATTTGGAATTCAATTTGAAAATGAATTCTCATTTTAGAGAATAACCCTATATGGGCTTATTTCCACCACATATTAAATCTGTATCTGTTTCCTCCTGATTTGGAAGGATTTCTCAGCAGCTTTTCTGATAACTTGATTTCTCAGGCTATAGACAATAGGATTTAGCGATGGGGTTACCAATGTATATAACAAAGACAGAATCTTATTCACATCCAGTGAGCTGTCTTTGGGTTTAAATATATAAATGGTTGCTAGCGTGCCATAATACATACACACAATGCTCAGGTGGGAACTGCAGGTGGAGAATGCTTTCTGTCTCCCGCTGATGGTTGGGATCTTCAGGATGGTGAGAAGAATGGAAGTGTACGTTACAATGATAAAGAGTAACGGAGAGAGAACAAGAGGAGCAGAAAGCAAAGATGTCAATAGCTCCACGGTCCTGGTATCTGAACAGGAAAGTTTTAACACTGGAGCAATATCACAGTAGTAATGGTCAATGATGTTGGAATCACAGAATTCTAACTTATGGAGAAAAAAATAAATAATAAGACTCAATAAAAATCCAAACATCCAACAACCAATGGAAGCACGAACCTGTAGATTGAAGGTCATGATTTGTGTGTAGTGGAAAGGATTACAAATGGCGACATATCGATCGAAGGACATCACAGCTAGGATAAAGCATTGGGCAATAGTTGGCACACCCAAGAGACAAAACTGAATAATGCATCTAGAGACTGACACATTGGCTCCTCCAGCCAGAACGAGATGCAGCATGTTTGGCACAATACTGCTGGTGAATAGAATTTCCGACACGGACATCTGGCTGAGAAAAAAGTACATGGGAGAATGGAGACTTTGATTCATCACAACCAAAGAAATAACCAAAATATTTCCCAGTAAGGATATGAGGTAGAATACCAGAAACAGAACAAAAAGGAGCGCATTGAAGTATTGACGTTTACCAAATGCCAGCAGCAGGAATTCAGTGATTCGTGTTCGGTTTTGCCCCGGTGATGCCTGAGGACAATGACAAGAGTTTCTTTATATCAATTCTTCCACATACTTTTCCACATTTGTTGAATACGCATTGGAGCTATTTAGCAGGTGTTGTAAATGGATATGATAAATATTTACCTCTATAGGAACCAAAGACAGTCTATCCCTTCATCGCAATCTAGGCCATAAAATCTTACGTTGGCATCTCCATGGTACATTTCTAAAGGTGTCTGAATCATATTGTCTAGCCCCTTAAGACTAAAACACTGGACATTAACAGCAGTGTCCAGTAATGCTGGAAGTCTGGTGATGGGATAAAAGGGTGAGCCACTGACACAAATCACATAACAAGAACTGCCAAAAGGGGCGAACATACCCAAAAAGGAGGCATGTCTGTGTCCCCATGTCTCCCAGTGCCTTAGTGTCTGTGCCCCAATGTCTCCCAGTGTCCCCATTTTACGAGGACACTAGGGGACATTGAGAGACATTGGGACACTGGGAGACATGGGGTCACTGAGAGACCATGGGACACAGACACTTGGGGACACTGGGTGACTTTGAGACATGAGGGGCACTGGGAGACATGGGGCACTGAGACACTGGGATACAAAGGGGACACTGTTATATTTAGGGGACACTGGAGACTTGTGCCTGAGATTTTTTTTCTTTTATACTAGGGGCTACTGAGACACTTGGGGGCACTGTGAGACATGGGGACACTGGGAGACTAGGGGACACTGAGACACTATGGACACTGAGATACACCAGGGACACTGGGAGACATGGGGTACTGAGACACTGAGATACATAGGGGACACTGGAGACTTGATAAAGACCTGGGTACAGGTCAAAACACTGCAGTGTCCAATAAACCTGCTTAAATCTATCACAGTGAGTGCCTGAGATTTTTTTCTTTAATAATAGAGGACACTGAGACACTGGGAGACATTGGGACACTGGGAGACTAGAGGACTTTGGGAGACTAGGAAACACTGACACACTACAGACACTGAGAGACACCAGGGACACTGGGAGACATGGGGACACTGAAATACTAGGGACACTGGCTGGAAGACATGGGGACATGGGGAGTGCCCCATGTCTCCCAGGTCTCAAAGTTACCCAGTGTACCCATGTCTCCCTGTGCCCCCCAGTGTCCCCATGTCTCTCAATGCCCCCAAGTGTCTCAGTGTCCCCATGTCACCCGGTGTCCCCTAGTGTTTGTATAGATAGGATAATATGCAGCGGATGTGCCACGTTCATGCCCTCACCCTATAGTGAGTGACAGAGTGGGAATGGGGTGCTCTGGACACCCTCCTCCTGTTTGTCACTTTGAGTGAACTTTTTTCCTAACTATTTAGTAGGAAAATTATTAAATGTGTGCTGGTTAACAGAGACTCAGGACTGGTGGTAATTTCACAGGTGGTTTAGTATGATTTTTAACATATCGGTTATATTTTTATCATTCTCATAATTCCCGAGTTCTTTGGCTGAGGAATATATTGGAGGAGGCTATGTTAAGCAGTTAATACATTCTAAGCAGGAGTCACTATATTGCAAACCTGTAACTCACTAACTTCTGCTGCTGAACTTGGTAATTACAGTGGGTTAGATAAGACTGACGTTCAGGCGGTGGTTTTAATGCAGTGGATACCCAGTGTATTCTGCACACTTACTATTACAGATGCCAGTGTGAGTCTCTCTGACCGCTGTTTACAATGAGCCAATGAGTCCAGCTGCCAGACGCTGCCACCATTTTTATTTCCCTAGTGGGAGAAAAGACAGAATCTTGTATGGCAGAGAATGAAATCCAAAATAAAGGTATGCAGTGTTTATTATTTATAACATTCAAATGAATTACATTTTCTGTTTGGGGTAGCTACAACAAGCAGTGCCAGACAAAGAGTCTTTTGGGCCTGTTGCTGATTGGACCTAATCACAGAATCCTAAAGATGAAAAAGATTACAGTTATACCTTCCAGGTGTCTTGTATCTGGTGAAATACACTTGCAGAATGCTGTTTTAAGATTGCACAAACTCTATGTCAATCTCTGTCTTCCATCTATCAGCATAGTCTGTCTGGCCATATTAGAAGCCCCCAAGCTCTCATCTTCTCTCACTCATTAATCACAAACTCTGAATCCTCTCTCATCAGCACTCACTGTCCACTCCTTTCCTTCCTGTCTTACTAGCCAGCAGAGGTTCAGGTCTGCAGACTGGGACGGAGAAAGAGGTGAATGCAGTGTGTGTAGCAGAAAGGGGACATGTCACACTGTTACATAATGACAGGAGGATGGTTGGCTGTTAGAGAGATGGAAGCAACAAGAAAATTGACACATTTCACAAAAAAAGGTAAGATCTGCAGTGGTTAAGATGCTGCGGTCTTCTGTTCCCTTTCCCCAACAGCTGAGCATAAGTGATTATAGCTGCAGCAGGGGTTAGAGGAATAAGGTAGATGAAATGCAGTTCCAAGGTGATTTTTCCAAGCAAATAGAATATCCCCCAAACATGAGCCTAGACTTCATGAAGGGTGTAACAGGAATTAATTTTATTGACACACACAGGCTTTTATGAGAAATCCTCCTGCAAGAGGACCTCCCACAGCAAACAAAGACAACAGCCAATCAACACACAGATTTACAGTAATACATGCCTTCTCTCTGCCTGGGAGATATTGAGATAAGTTCAGGAATAAATCAATTATCTCCAGGCAGAGAGCACACAATTTCCCCAAAACTCAGAACACCCCTTTCCCTACCAGGTATCCCCACAAATTACATATCCCCTGATAGACCCGATCTGGGGGACAAACATATCCAAATTTCACCCAGATCGGTTCAGGGGTTCTGAAAAAGTGTGGAGGGTCCCTTTTACCGACCACACATGCGGCTCCTGCCCAAAACAGTTCCATGAATTCAGCGTGTGCGGTTGGTCAATTCACTAATAGACAAAAACCGAACAAAAGTCCTGAATGGATCCCCCTGGCTCATAGTAGCGATTGCTCCCCTTGTCCGTTCGCACAGAACTACCAAACAGCACTTCCCTGGCTGTTCGGGAAATACAAGAAGCCGGCGTTCGGTAGTTTCAGCGGTGTTTCGCGAGGTCGAGTGTCCGATTTTAGTTCCAGACACTCGACGACCAAGTCCCGCTGACTCCCCTCGTGCGAACAAGATGGCCGCCGTTTTCTATTCCACGTGGCGTTCGGCTGTACGAACAGCGGCCGCCCAGGGAGCACTTAATAGCTAATTCCTTTGTAGTTAATGAGCCAGGAGGGTGGTCGGCGTTCAGTAGTTTCAAACTACTGAACCAATACATTCAATATACAGGTGGTAAAACAGGAAAAATACAGAACAAAGAAGAAAATGTCAATTAAAAGTCCATTTTCTTCACATAAGTTAATTGTTTTATAGTCAGCCAGACCCCACATTTTGTTTTCTTGCATCTCTCAGAGGTTTCTCTGGGAAGAGGAAATGAGACATATGGAGGGGATTTGGTGCAGTGGGAATGAGACACACAGACAGGCTAGGGCAGTGGTGTATCCTGGTTTTGTGCTGCCCTAGGCAGGTCAAAACTCAGGCACCCCACTCCCCCCGCGCCACCCCCACCCAACCCTTCCCCCCCACCTTCTAAATACACACACACACACACAGTCAGACACACACAAACACACACAGAGTCAGACACATACACACACACACACACAAACACAGTCAGACACATACACAGACCCAAACACAGTCAGACACAAACACACACACAGTCAGACACAAACACACACACAGTCAGACACAAACACACACACACACACAGTCAGACACACAAACACACACACACACAGTCAGACACACACACACACACACAGTCAGACACACACACACACACACACACACACACAGTCAGACAGACACACACACACAGACACAAACACACACAGTCAGACACACACACACACACACACACAGTCAGACACACACACACAGTCAGACACACACACACACACACAGTCAGACACAAAACACACACACACACAGTCAGACACACACACAGTCAGACACACACACACACACAGTCAGACACAAACACACACTCACATTTACTTTTTTTAATCCGCCCCCCCCAGCCTCCTTACCTTTGGCAGTGCTGGGGGGGGTCTCTCTCTCCCTGGTGGTCCACTGGCTGCCGGTCGGGCTGAGCAGCGCTGGCTGCTGTGCGGGGGGCTGGCGAGGGAGCTCTTCCTCTGAGCGGCCTGCTCAGCTCCCTCGCGCGCCGCAGAGTGAGGCTGAGAGACAGAAGATGACGTCATCAACCCGGCTCCCAGCCTCACTCTGCAGCGCGCGAAGGAGCTGAGCAGTCAGCTCAGAGGAAGAGCTCCCTCGCCAGCCGCCCGCCCAGCGCCGCCCAGCCCGACCGGCATGTCTGTTACCCGCAAGGCTAACAATTCATTTGCCCTGGGCATTTGGGGGCAGCGTTTTTTGCCGCCCCCTGAAAAGTGCCGCCCGAGGCAAATGCCTTGTTTGCCTCGCGGCTAATACGCCCCTGGGCTAGGGGTGGGGGAAAGGTACATGGGGGGCCATGGTGCGGGCAGGAATAAGACACATGGAAGGCCTAGGGGGAACTAATGAGAGGGATGAGACATATGGAGGAAGTCCCAGGGCAATATTTGCACCGGGGCCCGGTGGTTTCTAGTTATGCCTCTGCTCTCTAGGTATCATGAAGACTGGAGTCCTTGAGCTGTTGGCTGTCTCTGCAGGCTGGGAGCTGCTGTTTGGACTCTCTGGGCAGAGCTGCTCCCGTGGATCAGTGAGTAGGAAGAGGGAGCTGTAACTTCCTATCCCTGCCGCTGTATCCAAAAAGGCTGGAGTCCTAGAGGCCTGCTCTTGTATCCTGGAGGCCACAGTCCCATAAGGTCTAGCCCATTGCCTGAAACCTGAGTCATCCATACAGTCTTGTATCCCATTGCTAGCCTTCACAATTTTATTTGTTTAACATTTGTGTTATCGTCATTTATGCTTTATCAGTGTGTATACATGTTTTTCCCTTTTACCTTATTGTATTGTGTTTTTCTCTGTATGTGGTATTCCTACTGAATGGTGGTCAGCACCGTTTCCAAACTAAATTCTGACAACTTTGCCTCACTGTAGTACCTCTAAACTGGGGAATTGCATTATGGCTGTCATTGACGGTTTGTACTGCCTGGGAGTTGGAAAAACATATGAATGGCACGCATGGTTTATGAAAAAAACAGATAATATGAGAACGGACAAGTTTAGAGAAAAACAAAAGCTTTCCCTTTGGTAAATCCCTGTTCAGGTCTCAAAATAGTGTTTGCTGACTTGTGACATTACAGAGACAACCTATTCCAAGGCTTTTCAGACTAATTCCACCCATAAGGGCAGTCCAGAACCGAAATGCCAGCAGGTTCTCTCTGCATGAGAGATACAGAAACCCAGAGCGTTCATTTTGGCCTGCTTTGTGCATTGTCAGCAGGGTGTAACTGATACCCCTGTAGACACAGTGAGCACTGGGTACCCAGCTGGATTACACTTTTAACTTTGAGAAAGCCGAAGCAAATGAATTACCACAAAAATATGAAAATATGAGAACTCTGAAAACATACAAAAGCTGTGAGGAACGCAGTAGTTCTCATATTTTCTGTTTTTGTTGCACACATAATTTAACCCCTTAAGTACCGGATTAATTTTTTCAATGTTGTACATTTGCGACCAGGCATATTTTTACACTTTTGTGGTGTTTGTGGTTAGCTATAATTTTCCGCTCTCTCATTTACTGTTCCCATACAAATTATATATTGTTTTTTTTTCAGGACAAAAAGGGGCTTTCTTTACATACCATTATTTATATAATCTCATGTAATTTAATTTTAAAAAAATAAAAAAATGATGAAAAATTTAAATAAATACATGTTTTTTTACTTTTACTTGAAAAATCATTTACTCATCTACAAAAGCGAATGAAAAAAACTGCTAAATAGATTCAAAATTGTGTCCTGAGTTTAAAAATACCCAGTGTTTACGTGCTTTTTTGCTTTTTTTACAAGTTATAGAGCTATAGGTACAAGTAGGATATTGCGGTTTTAAAACATACATTTTTAAAATGTATCAATAGTAACATTGTAACACTATTATCTGCCATAAATCTCTGAATAACACCCCACATGTACATATTTTTTTTTAAAGTAGACAACCCAGGGTATTCAATATGGGGTATGTCCAGTCTTTTTTAGTAGCCACTTAGTCGAAAACACTGACCAAAGTTAGTATTCATATTTGTTTGTGTGTGAAAAAAGTAATAAGCTAAACTGAACGCTAATTTTGGCCAGTGTTTGTGACTAAGTGGTCACTAAAAAAGACTGGACATACCCTATTTGCAATACCTTGGGTTGTCTTCTTTTGCAAATGGTGTCAGCACAGGCAGTCCCCCTGCAGGCAGACACATGGACACCTATTGTGACTATGTGATCGCTGTGTTGAGCGATCACATGGCCACAGGGGTCCTAATCCAGTGTGGGGAGACTGTCTGGGCTGCAGGCAGTCTTCCCACAACGGGAGCACCGCTGATCACCGTTGGGGGAGCGACGGCGATCAGGTAAGTAACTAAGACCGTTAGGACGGTTCAGGACCGTCAGCGGTCGGCAATGGAAAAATGCTGATGACGGTCCTAAACCGTCCGCGGTCCTTAAGGGGTTAAAGTGTTGTTGTTGTTGTTGTGATTATTAATATTTAAAAAAAATGTCAACCCAGCCTCCCTTTTCCTGCCTTTACTGGAGAGAGCTGGAGTTGAACCTCATCCCTAGTGGACAGTGTGGAGCTGGAATCACATTCACATCTTGTAGCTGAACAGATCCCTGATACCTTTCAATGTGCTCTTCTCTGCAATACTACACCATTGGGGATACTTATGAACGTGTTCGGAAAAGTGGTTGTTACATTTTGATCATGTTTATTAAATTGACATAAAAAGGGACAATTTTCTTAATAGTAAATTCCCCAATTTTTTGTCGAAATTTATTTTTTATTAAATTTATAGTGGCAAAAAAATCATATTAAAAAATAATGGTTATAGTGCAAAAATAAATATATCAACAAATGAAGCAATTCAACAGATTTAATAAATTGTGCCGAAAATTTATTGAAAATCTGGTGTGAAAGTGTGGGCGATAGTTTGATAATTTTCCCACAATATTCCTAACATTGCCTATGCAGTCTTATACTATATTATTATTTATTATTTATAAAGCACCAACAAGTTCTCTTCTCGTCCACCCTTCATCATGTCACTAACCTCTTCTCTTCAGTCCTAATATATGTCTATAACCTCTTCTATTCAAACCTACATTATATCCCTAACCTTATATGCAATTCTACATTATGTTACTAACCTTTTCTTGCCAATCATAAATGCTGTTCCTAACCTCTTGGTAGACGGGGCGTAGTATGACGTAGCATGCACGTTCCGCCGGAAGTGAACAATGTATACTGATTACTGAATATCAAAGGGCCGGAGGACAACCAGCACAGTACATTATAGGTCCTACTGAACTCCCCAATTGAGTGGGAGGACAGGAGGACGGGAGAAGAAGTACTCTACGAATCGGTGAGGGTCGGTTTCCTGACATTAATTTAGTTTTGCGGGCAGGTCATCCTATCGTTGACACCCCTGCTAAGGGGAACCTTCCCCAGCTTATTTTGATGAACTTAATAAGCACCATCTATATCAAAAGTAGCTTGGCGATATATCTATTATGGGAAATTCTTCCAGGGTGTCTCCTGGTTATATATTGGCCGGTGCTACAAAAATATTCTAAAGTCACTCAGCATATTTTGATGCCAATTATCATTTATATGAATTCATTAAACACATATAGCTATATGACTGAGATTACATTATATCAAAAGATTCCTTTTAGTTTGCTGAATAAGTAAGAAGCAGAGTTTGGAATTGAGAAGGCCTCTATTCGATTCCAAGAAACTAAGAAGCAAAGACCTAAGAGCTATATGAAAACAGATCTACGTAAGGGGAAAAAAAGCACAAGTGAAGAAAATAGAGAATTAAAGGAATATTAGAAGAGGAAGGCTAAAAGAAAAAGAATGAAAAGATTAGCTAAAAAGGGAAGAGAAAGGGATAAAAGAGAAAAGAAGGAAGAAAGAAAAGGGGAAAGGATGAAAGAAAAAAAGAAAAAAGATAAAGGGAAAAAAACTGTGAGAAAGAAGGAGAAAAAAAAATAAGGATAAAAAAAGAAAAAAAAAAAGATTTTAAAAAAGGGGAAAATTACTCCAAAAAAAGATAAAGAAAAAATTACAACTTTAGAAATACACAAAGGTATCAACACCTTTTACTCCCCAAAAACCAAAGTGACAAATAGAAGATCTATTTCAAATGATCAGCGAGAAGAACTGAACCTTTCTATACATACCACACAGTACCAAGATATCCCGTTAAATCCTCCTCTAACTATAATGCAACAGACACTGGATGAGTCTCTAAACAATTAACCAATACTCTAACAGTACATTTAACAGTGAGTTAGTGCACAATTTTTAGAAAGCTCTCCAACTGGAGAGTAAAGGTGTTTGTAGAACTTATTCACCACAGAAATGTAATTAAAAAGAACATGCAGTCAATCAGAAAAAAATGTTTTCTCATTATATGTACAGTGTTTTCAACAAAAAAGTCCCAAATTGAACAGTCCAGACCCCATGTACAGTGGCCCCCTTTTTTCCTCCTTTCCAGCACTTCAGGGGTTAAGGATCAAACAATGATCTGGGGAAATGAAAGGCTTAAATGGTGTAATAAAGTTAGGCGAATAGTCTCCACCATATACACCCTATGTGGAGTGTAATGGAGCTCCTTGTACTCCGACTGAGTACCCTCCGTTGATGGATGCTCCTAGCGCTTCCTGAGGACTCCCAAGCACTGCAGCAGACACCACAACCACCGCAGACTCCGCAACCGCCGTATCTTGACTGGAGTCTCGCCGTCTTCCTTCCACCCTGGATCAGCTTCTGTCCTCCAGGACTGTGTGTTGAAGACCCCTCCTCCAAGGAGATCGTGTCAGGAACAAGCTCTTAAAAGAGCTAAGTGACTCAAGCTCAGGGGAGCATGCAGAGCATAGCAATCCCCAGTGTGATTATAACAGCTCCCTCCAATAACGAGACAAGGCTACGTTTAGAGGGATCAAGAAGAACTGTCAAAACCTTTATTTCCCTTGGGCCAAGCCAATAGGGTCACCACAATAACATTGTTGTGAAACCTCAATAAAATCACAAACAGTCAAATCATATCAAGCAACACACAGTGACTTATCACAACACAATGGCACATTTTTAAAGGGGTGGGGGGAGACAATATTTAACAGTAAATATCTCACCTGCCTGCAGAATTAGCAATATGCAAATCTACCTGAATATGCAAATGAACCAGTCTTGCAATTCAGGTAGTGCATATTGCTGTTGCTACCAACAGAGGGCACTAGACAAGCTCCATAGCCAAACCCACCTAGTTGGTAGCAAACCTCAGCAATACAAGAGAGCAGGCAATACATTACACAGTACACACACACACTATAAACAATTACATTACACATACCCTGCACCTATAATGGGTACAGGGTGACTAAAACATAAGATAAATAAAGCAGCCTACATAAATAGTCTGTCTGAAGGTAGACTAGGTGCTTTAAAGCCAGATACATGAAAGAGTCATAGACACAGGGGAGGAGGCTGGCAAGTAGGCCTCTCTAGGACCAAGTGGCGAAGGGCACTTCGTCACATATCTCCCCTTCGGGGGGAAGACTAACCAGGCACCTGACTTTCTGTCGGTCAGTGCCTAAGTTAGTCGAGTCACCCACCGACCATAAGCAAGTGCCAGAGTAGCCCACCCACAACAAACAGTTATTAGAGCAGCCCACCCACAGCAAACAGTGACTGCACCTGGGTATTCCTCTGGGGTGATGGGGCAACACGCTGTGGGGACTTGAGGGGCAGAGGCCAGCGGCGCTCTGCCCTGATGCCAGCGCTCCTGCTGGGAGGAAGGGGGTGAAGGCCAGTCCTGTGACAAGGGGATCGGTAGGGCAGAGGCCAGCGGCGGTCTGCTCTGATGCCAGCTCTTCTGCTGGTATAGCCTGCAGGACATCAGGCTCTGGACAAGGGACAAAGGGAGGGCAGAGGCCGACTGCACTCTGCCCAGCTGCCAGCTCTTCCGCTGGGGGCTTGGGACATAGTCCGGCTCAGTAGCCAGGGGAACGTGGGGGTCAGTGGGGGTTAACATCTCCCCTGTTAACCCTGGGGCCAAGTTAGGAGTTAGCTGGGGAGGGGAATTCGTACTTACCCCCTCTTCCTGTTGTCCCTGTGAGGGTAGTTGGGGATCTGGACAGGCTGTCCAGCATCCCTGTAGGTCAGGCACAGAGACCACGGTCCCATCTGCGCCATCTGGGAGATTGGTGTCTTCCCTTGGTAGGGTAAGCTGCCGCTGGGGAGATAGGGTGCTGTGCTCTTCTCCCTGAAACACAGGCTGCCGCTGGAGAGGGAGACCGCCTGTCTCCACTCCCATAACATTGTCCAACTGTCTCTGCTCCCTGTAGGACACACTGCTGCTGGGGGGGGAAGGACGACACCTTCGACCCCCTGGAATTCGCACTGCCGCTGGGGAGGAAGGACGACACCTTCGGCTCCCTGTAACTTGCACTGCCGCTGGGGAGGAAGGACGACACCTTCGGCTCCCTGTAACTTGCACTGCCACTGGGGAGGAAGGACGACACCTTCGGCTCCCTGTAACTTGCACTGACGCTGGAGACTAGGTGTCCATATCCTCAACCTCCACAGTTGTCGCTCAAAGGCCATTGCCGCACTGTTCTCAGCACTCAACTGGCACATTACTTGGTGGACCACCTCGTTCGAAAGGTCTGGGCCATAGCAGACCAACTGCCTCTTTACCTCCTCAATGTAAGCGTCGTCCTCGTAGCGACGTATCATGTTGAGGTGCTCTTCGCAGGGCTCTATCCATCCCTGCTCCATGCTGCTGTAGTTAGGGACGCTGCACAGTGGCTAGCATTGCCCTCAATAACCTCTCATACGATACCAGTGTCTCCGAGCTGCTTCTCCTCGCACTAGGACGCCATCCCACCGCTGCCACCAATGTAACGGAGCTCCTTGTACTCCGACTGAGTACCCTCCATTGATGGATGCTCCTAGCGCTTCCTGAGGACTCCCAAGCACTGCAGCAGACACCACAACCACCGCAGACTCCGCAACCGCCGTATCTTCACTGGAGTCTCGCCGTCTTCCTTCCACCCTGGATCAGCTTCTGTCCTCCAGGACTGTGTGGTGAAGACCCCTCCTCCAAGGAGAGCGTGTCAGGGACAAGCTCTTAAAAGAGCTAAGTGACTCAAGCTCAGGGGAGCATGCAGAGCATAGCAATCCCCAGTGTGATTATAACAACTCCCTCCAATAACGAGACAAGGCTACGTTTAGAGGGATCAAGAAGAACTGTCAAAACCTTTATTTCCCTTGGGACCAGCCAATAGGGTCACCACAATAACATTGTTGTGAAACCTCAATAAAATCACAAACAGTCAAACCATATCAAGCAACACACAGTGACTTATCACAACACAATGGCACATTTTTAAAGGGGTGGGGGGAGACAATATTTAACAGTAAATATCTCACCTGCCTGCAGAATTAGCAATATGCAAATCTACCCGAATATGCAAATGAACCAGTCTTGCAATTCAGGTAGTGCATATTGCTGTTGCTACCAACAGAGGGCACTAGACAAGCTCCATAGCCAAACCCACCTAGTTGGTGGCAAACCTCAGCAATACAAGAGAGCAGGCAATACATTACACAGTACACACACACACTATAAACAATTACATTACACACACCCTGCACCTATAATGGGTACAGGGTGACTAAAACATAAGATAAATAAAGCAGCCTACATAAATAGTCTGTCTGAAGGTAGACTAGGTGCTTTAAAGCCAGATACATAAAAGAGTCATAGACACAGGGGAGGAGGCTGGCAAGTAGGCCTCTCCAGGACCAAGTGGCGAAGGGCACTTCGTCACATGGAGCTCTCACCTTATCAAGTTATACTATGGTTCAAGGACTTGTATCAGCCCCACAGTACATCCCTCAGTGTAAACAGGAATATTCCAAAAATGTTCAAAAGTTTATTTCCATTTAAAACTAAAATAGACCATAAAAAATAAAGGTAAAATCTATACAGCTATACAATATTATAGCTGTATCTAACCAGCTCACAGCTCATGGGCACATTTCTCATGCAGGTCCACCGTCCACTGATGTTGCCGCTCGATCCTTCTCTCCCCCTCTCCCCTGAACGTCTGGTACGTAATATCGGCAACACGTGACTTACGCGTTTCGCCTTGGGTGTGTTTTTTTCAAAGTCTGTAGATGCCGAGTGCTGATCTCGCTTAAATACAATATTGCAGCTATCCATAATTGGCAAATATCCTACAGGTTCTTCCTGTTTAATTCATTAACCAATTATTTCCAAAACATAATTATATATACAATCAACATATATTGAAATAGTGACTATTTTCATTACACCCTGTCAAAATTATTCAAACAGGGCTTTGCAAATACACAATTTACTTAAGAAGCAAATGAATCATATGCGTGTATATAGGAGACTATTATTATAGTATATTTCTTATAGACCAACAGTGATAAGGATATAATTTTAAAGGAATACGATTTCCCAAAAATATTTATGGTTTCTTCCATAAAAGTGTTTCAAATGCCAAGGAATGTATATATATATATACATATGAGGAAGAGGTTCTATTTCAACTGTCAAAAGTAAAGACAAATAAGTCAATGGGACCTGATGGAATACACCCAAAGCTATTAAAAGAGCTTAGTGGTGTACTAGCAAAACCATTAACAGATTTATTTAACCAATCATTGTTAACAGGAGTAGTCCCAGAAGATTGGAAGTTAGCGAATGTTGTGCCCATTTACAAGAAAGGTAATAGGGAGGAGTCGGGCAACTATAGGCCAGTAAGCCTTACTTCAGTAGTGGGGAAAGTGATGGAAACCATGTTAAAGGATAGGATTGTTGAACATCTAAAAACACATGGATTTCAAGATCAGAGACAACATGGGTTTACTTCAGGGAGATCATGCCAAACTAATCTTATTGATTTTTTTGATTGGGTAACTAAAATTATAGATCAGGGTGGTGCAGTAGACATTGCTTACCTAGATTTCAGTAAGGCTTTTGACACTGTTGCACATAGAAGGCTTATCAATAAACTGCAATCTTTAAGTTTGAATTCAAATATTGTTGAATGGGTAAGGCAGTGGCTGAGTGACAGGCAACAGAGGGTTGTAGCTAATGGAATATATTCGAAGCTTGGACTTGTCACCAGTGGGGTACCTCAGGGATCTGTACTTGGACCCATTCTCTTTAATATTTTTATTAGTGATATTGCAGAAGGTCTTGATGGTAAGGTATGTCTTTTTGCTGATGATACTATGATATGTAACAGGGTTGATGTTCCAGGAGGGATAAGCCAAATGGAAAATGATTTAGGTAAACTAGAAAAATGGTCAGAGTTGTGGCAGCTGACATTTAATGTGGATAAGTGCAAGATAATGCATCTTGGACGTAAAAACCCAAGGCAGAGTACAGAATATTTGATAGAGTCCTAACCTCAACATATGAGGAAAGGGATTTAGGGGTGATTATTTCTGATGACTTAAAGGTAGGCAGACAATGTAATAGAGCAGCAGGAAATGCTAGCAGAATGCTTGGTTGTATAGGGAGAGGTATTAGCAGTAGAAAGAGGGGAAGTGCTCATGCCATTGTACAGAACACTGGTGAGACCTCACTTGGAGTATTGTACACAGTACTGGAGACCGTATCTTCAGAAGGATATTGATACTTTAGAGAGAGCTCAGAGAAGGGCTACTAAACTGGTTCATGGATTGCAGGATAAAACTTACCAGGAAAGGCTAAAGGATCTTAACATGTATAGCTTGGAGGAAAGACGAGACAGGGGGGATATGATAGAAACATTTAAATATATAAAGGGAATCAACACAGTAAAGGAGGAGACTATATTTAAAAAGAAGAAAAACTACCACAACAAGAGGACATAGTCTTAAATTAGAGGGACAAAGGTTTAAAAATAATATCAGGAAGTATTACTTTACTGAGAGGGTAGTGGATGCATGGAATAGCCTTCCAGCTGAAGTGGTAGAGGTTAACACAGTAAAGGAGTTTAAGCATGCGTGGGATAGGCATAAGGCTATCCTAACTATAAGATAAGGCTAGGGACTAATGAAAGTATTTAGAAAATTGGGCAGACTAGATGGGCCGAATGGTTCTTATCTGCCGTCACATTCTATGTTTCTATGTTTCTATGTTTCTACACACACACATGTATTCCTTATAAAGCAACTATTTGAAATTAAGCATCTATATAAATTAAATTGAATTTAAAGGGGTACTCCTCTTCAAAAACTTTTCAACCCCCACTATAAAATTGCCATACATATTCTTAAATCAGATAATCATTTTATGTGTCTTCTCTTTGCTATGGAAAATATAACCTAGGTTTGATTCCATTGCTTGTAAAAAGTGGAACACTACACCTCATCTTTAAAGGTATACTCCTCATAAATAGTAGGATAATACTAAAAAACAAATATATATTGGAAAATATATAATTAAAAATGTAAAAATTATAAAATATAATACAAGTGTCTTAGGGGGTGCAAGATATGGAATATATGGGTAGTCTTCTCTAAAAAAAATGTATGAGTTCAAAATCAATAAGCATTAAAGCCCCCAGTTTAAATATCCATTGCATTTCCCGGATAGCCAGCTTTTTTGTTAAGTCTCCTCCACTTGTATCCTTCTTCACGTGTTCAATTCCACAAAAGTATAGTTGGCTTGGGTCTATCTCATGTTTCATCTTGAAATGTGCTGAGACGCTATGGCCTTCAAATCCTCTTTTTATATTGTTCATGTGTTCATACAATCTTTTCTTCAATGGTCTTTTAGTTTGTCCAATATATTGGGGTTCACATGTACAATATATTAAATAGATTACCCCTTTAGTATTGCACATGATAATATTCTTTATCTTAAACTCTTCTCCCGTGTGGTATGATTTAAAATTTGTAGTTAGTTTTTGCACTAATTTGACATGCATTACCTAATCCACATTTATAAAAAAACATTTTGCAAATTAAAGGGGTTCTCCATGGGTCTTTTGCTCTTATCTAGTAATTGGCTCAGGGCTAGCATTGATTTTAAATGTGATGCCCCTCTAAAGACTATCTTTGGTTTATCTGGTAAGATGTTATGGACTGCTTCGTCCCATCTCAGGACTGGCCACCATTTATTTACAATTTTATTCATTTCTTGTGCTTGGTTATTATAATTTAAAATAATTGGGATCTCCATGTCTTCCTGTACGCCATGTCTTCCTGTATTCCATCCTATATTCAAGAAGATCATCTCTTTTCATCTTCATAACTTCTTCCAGGGCTTCTTCTACATTATCCTCATCATAATTCTTATCTAAAAATCTTCTTTTTTTAAAATTAGCTTGCTGTGTAAAATCGTCAACTTGTGTGCAATTTCTTTTTATTCTTGTGAACCGATGTTTTGGAATTTTAGCCAACCACGGATGGTGGTGGCAACTTGTTTTTAAGATGTAATTGTTGACGTCTATCTTCTTGAAGAATGTCCTAGTCTTCAGATGTCCGTCACTGATAAAAATTTCTAAGCCTAAGAATTCCACTTTGATGCTGCTAAAAATCAGCCTTCAATGTAATACCCTAATCATTAGAATTTAAAAATTCCAGGAACTTCCTTAAATCTTCTTCAGGTCCCTTCCAAATAAAAAACATGTTATCTATAAAACGCTTATATGTAACGAGGCTTGCACCCCAGCCATGACCATCCCACACATATTCATCCTCCCACC